GCAGGTATACCCATTACGTGACCAAGCCATCGGAGGCGGTGTAGAGCGATTACTTCTGTTAGAGAACGACTATCGGCACCCAACACACGACGACGAACCTCGCCATTACTCACCCGGTTTTCCCACCAGACTCGAGCAATGTTTCGAAGACATCGGTGGTCAAATACCGAAAGTCAATTAGCATCCTCAACGCGGAGGGGCCAGGTCTCGCAACCGTTAAGGAGAGCGCTACGAACCGCGGCGATGTACACCCTTCCCTTAAGGGACAGTCGGATGTCATGGCGGTGCCATAGGTGTCGCAGGTTGGCGAAAGCTGCTCTAGCTTTCGCTATTCGTGATGTGATCTTCTCAACACCCCCACCAGCTGCGACCAAGCTCCCGAGGTACTGAAAGCTCTCAACTACTTCCAGCTGATCACCACAGGTGGTGAGTGCAGGCACAGGCTCTTGCCAGTCTTGAACAAGCACTTTGTATTTGGAAGGTGCAAAGCACACCATACTTGGATACCTCTATCGCCAAGCGGTTCAAAGCGTTTTGGACTGCCTGTGTGTTGTCATCAAGCAAGTTGATGTCATCGGCATATTCCAAGTCAAGAACTCTGTTTCCTGGGAGGAGTTCGACTCCACCGTTTGCTAGACCGGACAAAGCATTCTGTAGAACATCCTGTATGGAGAAGTTGAAAAGAAATGGGGATATAGGGCAGCCTTGCCGAACTCCACTGGAGACGGTGAAGGGTGGCGAGAGCTCGCCATAAGCCCTAACCCGACCTGAGGTATGACGATACAACTCTTTGAGGATTGACACATACTTCTCAGGTACTCCATTCCTCAGCAAACAGTTCCATAGTGCAATCCTATCGACCGAGTCGAAGGCCGCGCGGATGTCCAGGGATACACTGAGCGTTGGTCTTTGATAGACATGATGGTGCTCTAGTAACTGCCAGAGGATGATAATTTGATCGATGCATCCACGACGGGCGCGAAACTCAGCCTGTTCCTCGCGAGTCTGCTCCTCACACATAGTGTACAATCGGCGGGGAATAACGGACGCCAACAGCTTTGACGCTATCGGGAGGTGGAGAATAATAAGGGGCTAAGGTCAGACGTGATTGATGGATGCGTTGGTTTAGATTTGCACACGCTTGAAGTGTCCTGTTTTTCCACAGTTTTTCCAGACGGCTTCCTTAATGGGGCACTTGGTACGTGGGTGTTTTGCAAAGCCGCAATAAAAGCATGTCTCTTTAGAAACCGCTGATAGAACGGGTTCAGGGTCGGCGACGTAATCGGTCGAAGGAAGTGGATCAGTCGACGCACACGGAAAGCTCTCTGATTCGTACGACCGCGACTGCTTTTGAGCAATTTCAAGGGACCTAGCCATATCGTATGTCGACTGGAAGATTGGAGATGGTTGTTCCAGCAGTCTCGTACAAATGACATGAGACTGAAGTCCCGTTATGAATGCGTCGCGCATAGCATCGTCGTAGTATTCTTCGGCAGAGACGGGCCAAAAATTACAGTCTTTAGCGAGCGTTTTGATGTTTTGAACAAACTGGTAGAAAGTAGGTACCGCGCAAACACAACGTTTTTGGAGCGAAATTATAGCGATTCGATCAGGGAGATGGCATTCTCAAATATCTTACAATCAGAGATGTGCTCATAGACAGGTGCCAAAAAATTGATAAGTATGTCCAGATTGTTTGTGTCATCGGATTGAATTCGCTTTAGAAAGGTGTTGAAAGTGCGTATCCGGTAAATCCATTATTTGAAGGCGCCGGGGGCATTCAGGTCGACACCGAATTTGTCGGGT